AAACCCCGGAGGGTTGTGTCAGCCGTCTTTTGCATTCATCTCGGGGTCAGGGTCAGGGTCTACGTGCGGTAGGGACTACACGCGAGTCCATCTCAACTTCGAAACCTGTGTGACTTGTGTGCCACGTGACTAAGTTCCAAGGATCTCCATCGACAGTTCCGGAGCTTTTCCATCTCACTGAAATCACTTCGATGGGAATGCGTGCCAGACTTCTGCGAAGCAGCGCCTCGCAAGAGTTTGTGGGTTTCTGACCCTTCCAGCAGCTGGGTCCATGCCCTCCCCCCACCCCGCATTGGGGATCCTCGCTCCAGGGTGACTTGGCTGTGGGTTTGTTTTGCCCCCCCCCCCCCACGCTCCCTTGCTTGCGCCCGATTGTTTGGCGACTGTTGCAGCTCGATCCAAGGTACTGGACTTGGAAGAGAACCTCCGTATGTTCTGGGACAAGAGAAAGTTCTTTCAGAGCACGCAGGGGAGGGAGAAGGAGAAAGACCAGGGATCTCCAATGCCCCGAGTTGACCGTTTGGACAAGGCCTTATCATGGGCCTTATTGTGGCCTTACTGCCTCAAAAACTCATCTAACTCAAGCTCACTCTAATGATATGAACAGATTTCTTGTTGGTGATCAGTGATCGGTGTTCAGAATTCAACTCGGACTCGGGCCCCACAGTTGTTGCAGTTTGCGTACTGAGAATGTTGCATGTGCTGCCACCTCTGCAGGTAATCCGGAGCTCCAGCTTCTGGGGCTTACTCAAGGTGACCGCGGATCTTGGTTACTTGGCCGAATTCGCAGGCCGTTGGTCGGAAGGTTGCAGATGTTGTTCAGCGCACCGTCACGTGTATGCTACCTCTTCTCGCAGAGAGCGGCTCGCATTGCCTACGCCGCCAGACTGCATCTACCGTGGATGCCGCTCAGCGGAGCTTGCAAGTGGTGAGTTCTGGGAAACAATGGAGAACGTTGCCCGAATGATCGAGCCCAGACTGCTTTCGTACATGCACGAGTTCGAGGGATGTGGGGGCATGTCAGCCATCGTGGCCAAAGATTGGCAGAGAAGCATCGCTTTTGTCATGATGGGAATAAGCACAAAGTTAAATTTTTGGCGCGAACTTCCCTACGTTCTATGTGGGCTGGCATCGAGCCATCCAGCACAAGTAGCTCAACTCAAGCACCGTGTCAGGGTGGATCAGGTGCATCCGTACGTTCACTTCATATCCAGATAGAGCCAGACAGTTCAAGTAGGTTCAAAGTTCAGAGTTCCCCTAGGCCCTAGGCCCCTAGGCCCGAAATTTCCCTGAACACTTGGACGGACTTTGGAAGCCCTTGAGGAACCCTAACAAAAATGCCTCAACCTGAGCTGGGCCTAAACTAAACCCTACTAGCCTACTAGCCGCCTAATCCTAAACTGAAGCAGCCTAAACCTGGCCCTGGCCCTAGACTCTAGAAACTAGACTCTGAACACTGAACACTGACAGGGTTTAGGGTTTAGGGTTTAGGGTTTAGGGTTTAGGGTTTAGGGTTTAGGGTTAATCATTGGGATCTTGATATATGACCAAACCCTAAACCCCAAACCCCAAACTGCACTGAGATCTC